TAACAGCTGAAACAAGCAGGTTAGCATGATCAAGTTCTTCATTGGGCAGAAGAAAAAGAGCTTTTATAAGTGGGAACCAGATTTTTCAGAATAAAAGTCAGTGTTGGTAACCAGTTTCACTGAAATAGGTTAGAAATTTGGACTTGCTGCCCAGAGATGAAGTGGTACCTACAAAGTATCTCTGCCAATTACTTTTTCTTTCTGGTGTTAAGCAATGACTTCCATTCCTGTAAGGCACCACAGCTTCTTCATATCTGGGGTAGCAGGTGCCTGCTATGGCAGGACGGCCGCCAAAGCCCACCAGAGAGAGAGCAACATGTGCAGGCACCCGGGGCCAGCAGCTCTCTGGGGTCCTGGCAGCAGAGCAGCACCAGTGCAATGTTTGAAGGCACCTGACGAGGGAGGACCAGGAACATGACCACAGCGGGGGTGCCCTCCTCCTCCCACCACACTGAGGACTCTTGGAGACCATGCAAGGTCATTTTGAAGACAGCACAGTCTAAAGCCAAGCTAATCCATCTGGGAGGCCTTCTGGAAGTAGTTTATCAATTCCGTGGCATCCCTGCACGAAGCCAACATAAGGATTCTTGCACACAGAGGCTGCCAGGCAAGGAGCTGTAGAAGCCCACATTGAATGGGGTGGTGCTTGGAAGCACCTGCCCAGCTCATTGGACAACTCTGTGGGGTGGTGTGGGAGCATCTCTTCATTGCCAGTTTGCCTAGTGCAAACCTGCATCTTTAAGAATAGTTTTCTGGAAAGACACAAAGAGTCAGGTGAGGCAGCAGGCTCTGTGCAGATCTGGGAGGGAGGACTCTGATCTGTGCTGTGGACAGGTCTCTGGGGGATCTGGTTTGGGCAGGGGTGCCTGAGGTGGAGCCTAGGGCAGTGCTGGTCTCTGCTGGGTGGCACCTTGTGTAATTCAGACAGGGGTGCGTGCTGCCTTGGGTGACCATTTCACGTGGTCTGATGTCTTGTAATGGTACCTGCAAAGAGCATGGGAGGATTCCCGACGCTGCTGGGCTGACTTTCTCTTGGTGTTGAACCTCTGACTCTGAGGAGGTGGCATTACCCCATTAACCCAAAGTGCTGCCTCAGTCTTGACCATGCTGCTGAGCTGGTGGCAATCACACACCTGCTGTGAGCACGGGGCAGGGGCAAAGGCCTGGTTTCCCTCAGTGCAGACCATGGTGCGTCGTGGAAAGGAAAATCACCAGCCCTGCTGGTGGTTGTGAGACAGTGGCAAAGGGGCTCTGTGAGCCCCCTTCCACCACCTGAACCCCATACATTTTCTGATGTATCCTTTGCTGTAATTAATTACATGTCCAGTGGGCTCATTTCTTTCATACTGTTACTGACAATCTGTTAGATAAAGGGAAAAAAAATGCATTGGTGCCCTGTGGTATTGAAAGTGAAGGGTTTTCACACTGTCAGGGTAATGAATTCTGCACGGGTTTGAAGCACCTGAGCTTGGGGGAGTCCTTGTGTCATGTGTCTGGGAGTGACAACCCCCAGTGGTTAATTACTGCCATGGATGAGAGCTGAGCTGATAGCAAAATGAGATAATTTCATTAGTAGTTAAATCTGAAGTTAATTGGATTCACGTTTACACAAAGTAGTGTACAAAGACACACTTGGAAACACTCTTTGCCGCCTTTTAATTTTTTTTTTTTGAGAAGGTAGATGGATTGAGGAATGCTTCTAAACTGCTCCCTTTTTTCCCCTGTGGTTTGGAGGGAGGAGAGCCCTTTGCTGCTGCAGGCTGCTCTCTGCCCCAGCGCCTTTGTCCTGCAGCGGGGACATTTGCTGATGCCCAAACGCTGCTTGCTTCATCTGTGCAGGGGTTGCTGCTGAGCTCTCTTGTAGCTGGTGACAAAATTTCTTTTATGGAAGAAAATTACTTATTAACACTTTCTTTGCAAAATGGTAATTTGCTTTCATTGCGGGTGTTGCCGGCTCCTAGTGAATGGAGGGATGGACATTCTTGTCTGTTGATGTTGACTATCTTCTGTGTGCAGAGCCTTTGACATGTGCAGGCGTGTCCACAGCAGAGGTGTTTGCTGCTCTCTCCACAATGACAACACTTGTGCTCCCCCTAAGACATTTTCTCTCTGGAATTCAGATGAGTGTTGTGCCAGCATTGCCTTGGAGATGTTCACCAGGACCTGAAGGAGCCTGGTGAAGCAGTCTGGAGGAGGTGATGCAGTAAAGGAGATGGTAGGGTCCAGGCTGAATGGGCACTGGAGCTGCTGTGTGCTCCTTCTGTCATGGAGGTGTGCCAGTTTCAGGTCAGCAGATACCACTGAAGGTACCAATGCTCCTGGGGCTACCAGCCTCTCCATGAGGAGGCCACTGTAGGACAGACTCAGAAAGGTGTTTTGGTACTTGGAGCTTTAAATTGTTGGCAGAGGTTATTAGAAAAAGGTTGTTGGTTACCTTGGAAAATCCTGCTAGGCTCTGCTCTAGCTGAGCTTCTCTACAGGCTGGAGCTGGCAGCTGAGCTGCTCTGTCCTGCACAATACCAGCACAGCAAGGCAAGGAGGCAGCTCTGCCCAAAGATACTTCTGCCCCATCTTTAACTCTGCACAGGACAAAGACATTCAGGAAAAAATATGTCTTGAAGTGACCTAGGTTCCTATGTCTGTGTGGCCCACTGCTAAAATGCAGATATTAATTTCCTCTTGAGTGCTTTACCTGTATGAGAATGGCAGAACAGCCTGGAGCAGAGGCTGCTTCTTAATCTCTCTTTGTACTAGGTGGATTAGTGTTTTTCTCTTAAATCAATTGTTTTAGTGCAGCTGAAGCTTGCCAGCACGGGGGGGGGCGGGGAAATCTCGTAGAGAATGGGATGGCTCTTGTCTTTCTTTCTGGTGAAAGCAAATTGGATGGAATCGACAGGATGAGGTTGGATTGCAGCCCCTTGCAGCTATGCCCTTGGTCACCTTTGGCCAGCCCCCTCAGCCTCCCCTCAGGCTCTGCCTGAGACCTGAGACCTGGCTGTGGGAGCCCTGCAAGGAAGGTTTGCTGACACATGAGAGAACATTGCATTTGGAAATGGGATGTAGTGGAAACCAGCCCAAGCCTGTGGAATAGATCATGGGCGATATTTCTGTACTGACTGAGGAGCAGAGGTCCTACTTGTTATGCTGTTGTTTGTGATGGCTGTGTTGCTCAGTACCCTTGACAGTGATCCTGGTCATTCTGGGTGTGGCAGTGGTTTGGAGAAAGTGAATTATTTGTAATATTTCAAAGCACCGAAGTAAACGTCGCGGTTTTTAGGATAGCTATGGAAAGTGAGGAGCGGGGTGCTGTCGGTGTGGGGCAGTTTGGGAGGGGGAGCTTGCCCGCAGGTCCAGGCACCTTTGGGAGCAGACGTGTTGTTTCTGTAGTGACACCATACAGCCAAGGAAGGGAGGAGCCCTGCTGTCCCTCCTGGGTCTCTGGAGGGCTCCTAGATGGCAGTAGTCAGCCTGTGAAATGGTCAGTCTGCGTTAGAGACAGCTGTTAGCTGAGTCCCTGCTAGCTCTGGCAGTGAACTTAGCTTCTGAGACTGACTTCATGTAGACTGCAGATACTTTTGTATTCTCCAGACTGTAGAGGTGACATAAAGCATTTAATTTTGTGTGGGAGAGAAGGAAGCAGGGCAGTGATGAGGGGAGAACATTTTAATCTAAAATTACCATTTTCTGCCTGCTTTGAATAATTAGAATTCATTATGCCCGTCCGTAAGGGACGGGACTTCTCCCTAGCACTGGAGAACAAATTAATCAATTGTTTTGAACCTTAAATTCTTTTAGGATGTGAATGCACCATAAATATTCTGTAGGAAGGGCCTGAGAGGAACAGCTTGCATCCTGATTTGCAGATAGTGAGTGTGAAGGAAAGTGGGGCATGTGCTAAGAGATCACTGCAGCGATGCTAGAGTTTTGGCATGTACCCCTTCATCTGAGGGTAGGGGGAGGCAATCTTTGTGGCCATGACCCAGAGATTGTGACCCACAATTTGCAATTACTTGTGTACCTGTCTCTTGTCTCATCAGATGAAGTCTCATTTCTTTAAAGATACCAAAAAAAGAAGATTTTTAAGTTTTAGTTTTAGATCAAAATGAATTTAGGGCTCAAAATCTTTACCAAAAAAAAAAACCGACCAAAAAAACAAAAAAAAAATACCACCCCAAAAACACTTTAAAAGGAATTGTTTTGGCTTTTGTAAAAATGTTCAGTTTCAATCTCTCCAAGCTCTGGAGACCTGAAAAAAGTCAGACACATGTCCTCAAAGGTGATAGGAGATGTGTCTGGGAGAGGGTGAAGGAAGAGAGGGTAGCCCAGACCCCTGGTCCAGGGGCAGAGAGAGATGGAAGACATCCCACTTCCTGCTTTTGTGGGGTTATTTCCATGGAAGTACTGTGGGTACTTGACTAAAACCCACATTTCTGTGGCTAAGGAAAGAGCAGTGCATCAGGCTCTGTGTGTAAATCTAAACTCTTCCTCTGGCACTGTGTTAAACTATATTTTAAACCATCTTCATGTCTCAATGCCTTGTGTTTGTTCCTTTTTTTTCTTTAACATGAGATAAAAAAATGCCCTGCATTGTATTTAGATCTCAAACAGTCTCAGCCTTTGCATGTGATTTTCTAGGGAGTTTTCTGGCAAAATGTCATTAAGATCTGTGTTATTTCCCATTTCATTGCTTTTGAATTTACAAATCTAAGCTTTAGAGGAATTTGGGAGTAGGGGTGAGCTGCTGGAGTTCAAGCGGGTGTGTTCCTCTCCCTGCAGAACTCTGCTCTTCACCTTCCAGTCTTGCACTTCATTGGAGCTTTGTGGCAGCTTATAGAGAAAACAAAACTGTGCCTGCCCTCCCTGCCAGGCTGGAAATCCCACGCTGGTCCTCACAGAGCAGATGACAAATGCATGGCTGTGTTCTGGGTGTTTGGGGAGATGTAAAACCATGTCTGCTTGTCGCAATGCTCACGTGGTGATTTGTTGGTTTGATTCCTCAGGTCGTGAGCTGGCAAGTACAACCCTCCCAGGATACCCTCCACACGTCCCTCCTGCTGGACAGGGCAGCTACTCCGCTCCAGCACTGACAGGAATGGTGCCTGGTGAGTCTTCAGAGTAGGGGAGAAAGAAAATGCAAAAGGAAAACAAACAGTATTTCAGGAGAGAAATGCTGTGTGCGGTAAATGTTGTGTGCTGAGGTAGAAGGCGCAGTGCCGAAGGGTAGGTGTGGAGTGATCCTGAGTGAAGGAGGCCAGGCTCCCCAGCACAGGAGGCTGCATAAGCTGCAGAGTGCCAAGGCAAAGTGTTGGCACTGGAATGCTGAAGGAGCTCCAGCGTCCCTTCTGTGGAGATTGCTGCATATTGGGCTGTGCCAGGCTCTGCTCACCTGACTCAGGCTTTGCTCTACCTTGCCAGGCTTCTCCCAGCACTGTCCCTCTGTCTGCCCCACTAGTGAGGCCATTGGGGGCTGGACATGTCCTGACCTCAGACTTCCTCCATGCAAACCGGACTGATGGGGACACCAGGTTGTTCCCAGGACACTCTACTTCTGTAGTTTCCTTCTCATTTTGGAACCTTGCAGTCAGAAATGCCAGCAGCTGCTACGGCTACTGCTGCATGAGCCAGCTGCTGGCTCCTGCTTGCCTGTGTGGCAGCAGAAGCAGCAGTTGTGCAGGTGCCTGGGGTGGGCAGAGCAGGTTCTGCAGGTATGTCACATCACTGATGCCATCCTTTAGCACTGCTGGCTGCAGATCCACACTCAGTTCAGAGTAGGACGGTGACTTCTGAGCGCTGGCAGCAAGGAGTGGTGGGGCAGCAGCACTGCTGTCCTTTCTGGGCAGTTACGAGCTCTTTGGGAGCACCTGCTAGGGTGGGTTGGCAGAGCAGCAGGATGTGAGGCTTAATGGTGCTCGGCCAGAGGAGGTGCAGTATAGGTTCAGTGATGTAGAGTCATCTGAGCTGATTTTTCCCAGGTAATAGATTTTATTTTTAACTACATATAGGCTTGTGTGACCCATTATATTGAATAACTGCACTGTTCCTCTCACTGGTTCCTTTAATAACAACCTTCTGCTCCAGCTAGTGTGAAGGTCAGCTGCAATTCCTGTAGGTTCTCCGTCTCATTTAAGTGAGAATTTGCTAACTAGCATCCAAAATGCCTTCTCAATCCTTCTTTGACTGCTGTCCTTTGCAGGACCAGTTTTAGAGCCTTGCTAGGGTGAGCACAACAGTCCCTGAGGGGCTGACAGTACGGCAGGTGACAGACACAGTCTGCTACCATTGGCACGTCTCTGCTTGTTCCAAAATGGCCAAATTCTCATGCCCAAGCACAGGTATGTGTTTGTTCTGCTGGCTCTCAGGAATTCATCTCATGACCCGCCTTTTTCTAGTTTTTGGAGCCTTGGCTAGAAATGTGCTTCCTTGATAAGATTTTTAATCATTAGCCATGAATTTCTGCTTGTAATTAAGCAATTGTGTGAGTTAAGTGGTTAGAGACATGGGAAAAATGTATACATGATAACACATACGCAGTGTTCTGTTGCTTGCTTGTTGCTGCTGCCATTGCCCCTGCTGATGTGAGTAAAGCCAGGCCTGGCCACGCTGGGTGTGCCACAGCTGCTGGGGTCTGCAGCTTGCCTGTGGGACACAGGAGACCTTCACACTCCCTTGCAATTGCAAGATGTGTGGATTCAGCTTCATGCTCTGTCCTTGTCTTTTCTCCAGCCCCCATCACAGCTCATCCTAGCAGGAGCACTTTTGCCTCCTGCCAGACCCAGGTCCTTCCTTATCTCTCCCACAGGCAAGGAGGTACATAGGAGCCTGTTTCTGCTGCATCTCCATGACTTGTTCAAACACATGCTCAAAATTTCACATTTCCTCCTTTCTCTCCTGCAAAACAAGGGACTTGCATATCAGCAGTGAATTTCCATTTTTATGTGGGTTGTCTGCTATGGCAGAGAATAAACTATTCAAATGCTTTTCTCTGAAGGAACCAAACAAGCAAACACGTGGTTTGATTTCAGTCTGGAGCTTTAGGGACTGACAGCTGGCATTGTTCGAGGCTCCCATGAATGTGTTTCCTCTGCAGGCCACTGGCCCTGCAAGCCTCTCCTGCCTTTTGGTGGCTGTCACCCTGTGGAATTGACTGGAGGGGAGCTGTCTGAGCTGTGCTGAGGTGCCAGCACCCACAGTGCTCTGATGCCACAGGGTGCAAGTGAAATGCCACGGTGGGGTCATGTAGGTGGAAAGCATCAGGCTGGGTGGTCAAGCTCAGAGGCAGTGCCCAATGGCACACTCCAGGTGGGCGCTGGTGCCATGCATAGAACTGCAGGGCACCGCTGGAGGTCTCTCTTGGTTCACAGCTTCATCCACAAACAGAAGAGAGCCCATCTTATCAAGGGTTCAGAGGCTGCCGACCTGCACGATGCTATCAGCAGGCTCTAGAGCAGAGCAGTGAAGTGGAGGCACATAGACAGGCTGGGGAGGAGCAGGAAAACCAGCAAGGACAAGCCAAATCATCCTGCACCGGGACAAGGAGCACTTTGCTACAGGCTGAAGACTGTTTAGTTCCTGGAGGGGCTACAGGGATGAGGCAGACTGAGAGCTGAGCATCAGTCTGTTATCTGCACTGCTTGTGAGAATGGTCGGCATTGTCCTGTGCAGGAGCTGGAGAGAAGAAATTATCCCCCCTCACCTGGAACTTATGGACCCACAATGGAAATAGTTCTGGTTTGAGCCCCCTTAACACAAATAAATAACTGGTAGAACTCAAAACAAGCAAGATGCAACTGGGCATGACAAAAGTCTCCAAACTTTTCCCCCAGGAGATGAGCCCAGTGGTGGAACAGGTTGCTGAGAGGTTGTGCAGTCTCCATGCTTGAGGATTTTCAAGGCCATGGTGGGTGAAGCCCTGAGTATTCTGCCCTGGCCTTATTGCTGATCCTGCACTGAGAATAGTATTGAGACTTCCAGACCTTTCCATCTTGAAATGACTGGTCTTTCCATGACTCAGTGTTTCAACTGAGGCACTGCTGGAAATGTGCTGCAGAAATTCATATGCTTCTGCCTGATACTGTGAGTAGGGATGGAGTCAGGAAGCTGTTTGGGGATGGAGATCAGGCCCCTCTCTGTAAAGGAATGGTGCCAGCAGTCCACACACAAGAAACACTTTTGCTCTTGTTACCCTTAAATGACTGAACCATGAATCCCACTTTGAGGCTGGAGGGAGCCCTATAGACATCTTTTCTGTTGTAGGGAAGATCCTAATGTCTACCCAGAGACTGGGAAAAATCACTTTGCACATTCCTCTTCCATCCTGTGACCGTGGTCTCACTCTGCAGCAGTGCAGTGGAACCTTCTTCCAGCCCTGGCTTGGCATCCTGTTTGCCTGTGCTCCATGCCCCACACCTGACTCACTTTTTCCTCTGGGAGACTATTAATGATGGGAGGAAGGTGGGTAGATCCAGCATAAGATTGGTGACTATTGCTGTTCCTGGACATGCTGGGAGCAGGCATCAACATTGACTCTATCATGTGGCATGTCATGGGAAGCCACAGGATCCCAGGAACAGCCACCAATCTCACCTGGGAAAGGGGACATAGAAGTGCCTGGAGCACCTTGCACAGAATGAACACTTCTCTTTAACCCTCATTTTCTGGTGGCTGATGCCTTGAACATGGAAGTTTATATTCCTTGTAAATGTTCATTTTGTCTAGTGCAGCTCTCTGTCTATTTTCATTATCTGTTTAAAGCTTTAATCCACTGTTGGTTCCTACAAGATCCATGCCCTCAGCATCATCTTGGGGCACAGGATCCCACAGGTTACTAAGATGCTGTATGCAGAAATTATCCCAAATAATCTGGTAGTGTGGTTACTATTTGTTCACATTGTGACTGTGCCCCTAAGGTGCTGTTGCTTTGGAAACATGGAGCAGTGTTTTCCCAGCAGCTTTTCCCTTCTGGAGGAAAATCTCTGGGGAAGAGCAGGCTGGAGCAAACTGCATCTTCTCCACCCAGTCATGTATTTCAACATGAAGCCTTGTGCCACCTGGCAGTGCTTGCTCCACTACAGAGATATGGTCCTGGGGCTGTTTTCTTCTTTGGATGGAGATGGTGCTATCTTCTGCTTGCAGTTTCTGCCTCCTCTGCTCCTTTCACTGCCTCAGATCTCACTTTGGGAGCTCAGCAGAAGCACACTAGGAAATGCAATATTTCCAGGGGGTTTACTCTGTGGCCAGTGTGGGGGCCTCAGAGCCCTTTCCTGGGGTGAAGTGTTTGAATGAAGCACAGCTTCTGAAGCAGCTGTTGGCTGGGCACAGAGACCATACAATTGCCACATCTCCCTCACCTCTGGAAGGCTGGGCTTTCTCTCCAGGGCTGTTAGTCCTCCTTCATGGACTCTACTGTCCTGCTGATTGGAGCTGGCATGGTGACAGGCACCACTCTGCTTGCCCGGGGTCTTTTCTTGAACCTTTGTAGCTTCACTAACCACCAACTTGTTTCCAGCACCGGCTCAGGTCTCTCTTTCTTCACAGATCACTAATTGTGTCCGTGGGTCTACTCCCAAGATGTACCTGAAAGTCAGTGTTCCTCCGTGTGTGGGGTAGATGGTGGCCATCAGCAAGGGTACAGAGGGGAAACATGAGGCTGGTGCAAGAGCTACAGTGTGTGTGCCTGCTCCAAGCAGCCCATCCCAGAAGCTGCGCCCCATTTGAGTCCTGGCAGCACTGGGGCACAGGGGCTTGCAGCAATTTCATTGCTGTGACAGGGGTTTGGACAAGCCACACCTGTGTTCACCAGCGTGTGTGTGCCCTTGCCATCATGCTTATGATGCTGCAGCTGAGCTGCACACTGGTAATATGCAAGTAGCCATGATAACTTGCTTAAATCCTTATTCCGGTTCTTGTCCCAGTTAGAAGTGCTGGGACAGCAACCCCTGCTTCCCCTCAGTTTCTGTCTCCTTCCTCCATTCCTTCTTCACAACTCCAGGGTTGAAGCCCCTGCTCTGCCACCCCTTTTCCTCTCCCCAGGGCTGCTGTTCACCCCTCCCCTCCTCTCCTGGCAGGCTCTGCATACTGGGTGACAGGAAAGGGTAGACTCTCC